AATACAATGTATAAAGAACACAAGAGTGGACTCTGTGTTTCATCACTCACAACTATAAACCTTCTTGGGCCCCCACCTGCACACACTGAACCCCAGAGTCTGCAACACACACAATGTCTCCGTTGTGTCTAAAGAACCCACAAGGCCTGCTGTGTGGAGCAGGCGGTGCTCAGCCCTGCGGGTCTGTCACCCCTGCATTGCCTCCCCCGGTCGGTTTGAGGCCCGCCCCCTGGGGGGCACAGGTGACCCCACGCTGGGGGGCTGCCTCCAGACCTGCACTCCTCACCTGGCCTTTGGGAAGTCCGCAACGGTTCAGGGGGTCCTGCGTCCCCGTTGCGTGAGCATTTAATCTGATTAAAGTTCTTGTTATTTATTGTACAGACTTCTTAGGTCAACAGGGGCTTGGGGTCAGGAGGTCCAGCCCCAAATCTCAGCGCCCGTTTCCACGGCTCTTTTTGCCGCCAGGGAGACAAGGGCATCTGCCCGTCCGTGGCGCCCGCCTCCCACCGGCACGGAAACATGCTCATCGTGGGTGCTGAGGTCCCTCCACGAGCCACATTCCTGCTGCAACTCTGTCCCTCCCCAACCAGCATCTGAATTTTTCTAGCAATCTCTTCCTAAATCTGCGGTTCTAAGGATCATACTGTCTTTCAGGGAGTGGTCAGTGGTGAAGAAAACTGTCGCCCAATTTATCTGAATTCAACCAAGAAAGCTTTGCCTTTACCTACAGTTTTTTATGGGTAATATTGAAGATAATATTTAGACTGTCTATGGAAAGAAAAAGAATTCCAAAGAGGGAAGAATAATGCTATAAATACAGTCAGATGAGGAAGTTTCCCAACTTAATAAAGTGAAGTCTTTTCAAATAAAAACAGCCCCCAATTACATATAATTACAGTGCTAACTACAAATGCATTTTACCCACTCATCTTGACAATGTTGGCCATTAGTTTGGATTCTATGTTAGGCATTTGTTTTGATTATAAGAATTGAGACAAAGCGGAATTGCTTTTCATTAAAAAGCCTCGAAAAGACTTTAAACAATTAAGACTATCTCCGCTCTGCTCGAAACATCAGCATTTGTAGTGAATTGGTTACATGCTAGGCACGTGCCCGTGTCACTTCAGTCAATGGTCACCTGTAGTTCACACGGCCGTGACCTTCGGCTTCCGTGTGAACACACACGGGTGCGGGCAGTCGAAGCGCAGATGCCAATCCTGCGCCTCTCCCGCCCACGATCACCACTCCACCCCAAACCCCTGCAGGAGTGGCACTGAGGGTCCATTTAGTTCCAATAAATCAAACATCTGAATAGCATGTTCCTTCTTCATATGTTCTTTCGCCTTGTAACTCCAACAGTAACTTTGATTCTGCATAGTGTCAACTCCCAGGTCAAGGGCACCTCTTCTCGAAGTGGGGCCCTCAGACCCTGTCAGAGGGGTGACATTTCTCTATTGATGCTAAGAGGTGACATGCTTTCCCCCACATGTTGGCATTTGTATCGACGGGGTAAAAGCAATGGTGAGGGAAGCTGACGTGACCTCACACAGCCACGGTAACTGGCGCCACGCACCAGCAAGAAGAAAAAAGAAAAGAAAAAAGCCAACCTCACTTCAATTCCTTGACTGAGCAGAATAAATGATTAATTTTAATAAATCTTGACCCTTGAATATGAAATACATCTTTGATGCACATTAAAACCATGTGTCAAAATGCTGACTAGTTTACTGAATTAACTGTTTTATTTTCATGGAACGCTTTTTTATGTGAAGAACCACCGATAAGCTATTATTGTTTAGAATCAGATATTTGTCAGATATGGTAAACGCTGAGCAAAGGACCCTTTTTATCAGAGAAGCATAATGGAAAAAATTTGCCACCAATGGTAAAATTCAAGCTGTTGAATAAAAATTAGAACTGTTGAAAATCTGTGACTGCCATCAGGAGATTGACAGCTTTGTGATCTTTAAAGCGTTTTCTGATAGCAACAAATGTGATGTTGCTGATACCGTATTTTGAAACATGAACATTTGAAGAAACTCATAATTCAACAGATCATTATTTGCCAGTGACCCATGCATAATGGTACGAAAAAAAATGCATGTGTAAAGCATAATTCAAGACAGAAACTTAGATCAACACATTTTCATGTAAGGAAGTATGAAATGTTTATTGTTATTATTTCATGTTCCACACTGTGGTTAACATTTAACAAAATATCATCTGCCAATTTTTATGATAGTATTGAATAAGAATAAGCATAATTATTTGGAAAGGTAATTAAAGTACTAACTCCTTTTTTCAGCAGTATGTGAGAGCAGAATATTTTGTAAGAATATTTTAACAAAAAATCTGCAGTACAACAGATTGGGTGCAAAAACAAATATAAGAGTCCAGCTACACTGTTACCATAGCAACAATAGTCGAAAGAAAGCTGGAGAGGCTAAGCTAATATAGGCTAAGTTGGTTTCAGAGAAAAGAATATTGTAAGAATAAAAAGAGTCTCTTTATATTATCAAAGAGATAAAATTTTTAAGAGACCTAACAACATTAAACATGCATGTGCCTACTAACATAGCAAAATCCACGAAGCAAAAACTGACGAAACTGAGATGAGGAAGTGACAAATCCATGATTGCTATGGAAAATTTCCTCTTTCAAAACAGAGTGAGTGGTGAGAAAATCAGTAAGAATGTTGCATACTTGAACAGCTCCTTCACCTACTTGATCCAGTGGGCATTTATACCACACCCCACCCAAATAAGACGTATGTTCTTTGCCAGGCATGTGGAATTTCTGCTAAGATAAAGAATTTCTAAGCCAGAAAACAAGTATCAATACATTCCAAAGGGTCGAAGCAATATAAAATACATTCTCTGAGCACAAAGGTCCTTGGAAAATTCTGGATATTTGGAAACTTTTAAGTAACCCATGGATCAAAGAAGTAATCACAGGAAAAAATAGAGTGTGTTGTGAACTGTGAGAAAAGAAAAACTAAACTTATGGGAGGCAGTTAAAGCAGTTCTTAGAGTGAAATTTATATCACTAAAAACCCACACTAGAAAAATAAAAAGGACTGAAATCACAGCTTCAGTCTTAAGAGATGAGAAAATGAAGAGTGACTGACTCATACGGTGACCAGAGAAAGAAAATGAGGAGAGACCAGAGCTGGAATCAATGCGGCGCAAGTGGAACCAACAGAGTATGCCCAGGGAGACCAAATGCATGAGGTCTTTCTTTTCTTTTCTTTCCTTTTTTTTTTTTTTTGAGAAGATCAATTGATTGGCATTCTCTAGTCAGATGGATCAAGTAGAAGAGAAAACAGATATTACCCATATCAGGAATTAGAACTGTGATATTGTTCATGATTTAAAGGATGAGAAGAGAACATTATGAATAGCTTTATGCCAATAAATCTGACAACTTCAAGTTGAAAAACTTCTTCAAATATGCAAACTGTCAAAGCTCACTCATGTAGAGATGTATTACCTGAGTAGGCTTGTAAGTAGAAATGAAGGTGAGTTTGTAATTAAAAAACCTTCTCATAAGAAAATTTAGTTACAGATGGCTTCACTGATTCATTTCCAAAAATTTCAAGGAAGCAATATTACTGGTTCTATACAAACTCTCCTGGGCTATTGAGAAGAGAGACTATTTTCTAATTAACTTCTTAAGATCTGTACTACCCTCATAGCAAAATCAGACTAAGTCATTAGAAGGAAAGTCTACGGGCCAATATCTTCTATGAACATACATGCAAATAATCTAAAAAACACCAAATTAAATCCAAAAGTACATAAAACATATATCAAAACCAAATAAATATCACTCCAGGATGCAAAGTCAGAAAACCTAGTCATTCATATAAATAAACTAGATGAACAGAAAGACCACACATCAACTTATGTAGATAAGCTTTTGACAAAATTTCATTTCCATTTCTGATTTAAAACTTTCAACCAACTAAAAATAAAAGGGTGCTCCCTCCACCTGATTAGAGGAGTCTATGGAAAGTTGGAAACTAATACGACTCTTGAGGAAGACTACCAGGGTGTTCCCATCACAGATCAGGAAGGAGGCAAGAACGCCTTGCCTCTCCTCTTCAGCCTCGTAGTGAGAGGTCCTGGCCAGTGCCCCCAGGTAAGGAAAGTAAATAAAGGACATGCAGGTAGAAAAGATCAAATTAAAACTGCCTTTTTTTGCACTCGACAGTGACATCCAGGGAGAAAAATCTAATGAAATATATACATCTTCCTTTCTTCGACAAAATACCACTATTTTCCATCAGTTTTTAGCTCACTTCATAAGCTGACCTCTCTACACGTATCTTTTTCTGTTTTTCTCTCTAAAAATGGCAAGCTTGTGAGAAGGAAAAATGCATCCCTTGTTCCCCTTTACCATTCCATTGGGAAGCTTTGTCCTAATGTGAGTTTCCATCTTGAGTCCTTCGGAAAAGGGTTAAGTGTCTCGAGCTAACTGGGAGAAGTGTGGAAAGCCACAGAAACAGCACTATTACCACAGCCACATTAAAAATGGAGTGACTGGAAGGTGGTCCTGGTTCATCACGACCATGTAAAGTGCATCCTAACATCTCCTGAAATAAAGTCATTGTCACTTACATTCCTCACAGCGAAAGTGTATCTAATGAAATGATTATGAAGCTATCGTGACGTTTTTGCCCCATCTATTTTTAAAACATTAATCAAAATATATTAGACTATTGGAAATTAACAAATTAAAACAGAAAAAAAATCCCTGGAGATGCATTTTGATCATATACATTTTAAATTAAATGTTTAATAGTGGGTCATATGGTGAAAGATACTCCGAAGCACCTGGAAATTCTCAGCACACATTTGAAGTTCTAACAATGATGCAGCTGCAGAATAATTGAGCAGCTGTGTTCCCATCCACAGGACAAGATGTTTGCACACCACACGCTCGGATTTCCTGTGGGTTAGCAAACACCATCACCAGCAGACCGCGCCTTCATCTCCTACCTGAAGTCGGACCCTGCTCTCCTCCCGAACTCTGGGGTCCCAGGGTCTGGACACATGTCGGAGACCAAAGCGACGCCGCCTTGACTCACTGCAACACAACAGAGAAAAACATCATCACAATTCTGTGTCATTGCTGGGGAAATGCCCAGAGAATACATTTGAATTAGGCAGGTTTGGCCCTTAAAATATTCTGACTTAAAATGGGATTTAAGAATTAAGCCAGTTTAACTCCCTTCACACACATTTATTCTTACCCCCAAGAAACAAAAGCTCCTTATCTCATGAAAGAATTTCAATATTCTTTAGTTTGAACCGTTCTTCTATGGAAGAGGTCAAAATTTGATTTTAAAAGCCCATGTCGGACTTCCGCCAAGATGGAGGTATAGGTGGATGTGCGGTGCCTTCTCACACAACCAAGTTTAGGGACAACTAAATATTAGCATCAGAAAACACAACCAGAACACGGAAAATTGAACTTTTCGGAAGTCCGTTAACAACAAATTCTTCAGCCTGACCGGTAAGGGGCGAAACCGGCGGCTGGTGAGGGGTTGCACAGGAGGACTCCGTAGGACGGACCCGGGCGCAGAATCCAGACCCGAGAATCCAGACGCACGGGTTCCAAACGCAGGATTGGACCTAGTGAGCGACCGAGCAACCCACCAGGTGAGCAACTGCAGAGGAGACAGTGGGGAGGCGGTGCTGCGTGTTGACTGCGGTCGCCTATCTGCACTCGAGCGGACAGGAGAGGGAGTGGGCGATTGGACCGGCCGCGGAGGTAGAGGGCGCCGCCATTTCCCCGCTCTGACCACGCCTCCACATACAGCGTCACAACCCAGCGACCTGGGACTCCAAGGCGCCGCTTCTCCCACTTAAAGGGCCAGAACAGACCAAAAATGTCGCAGGAAGACCTCAAAGCCCCAGAGATAAATCTAAGCGACGAAGAAATAGCAAAACTCTCAGACGCACAGTTTAAAACACTGGTCATCAGGATCCTCACAGAACTGGTTGATTATAGCCACAAATTAGAGAAACATATGAAGGCTAAACTAATGGAAATGAATGGAATTCCACAGGAAACCCATAGCGATGAAAAGGAAACTGGGACTCAAATCAATGGAGTGGTCCAGAAGAAAGCAAATAATGGCCAAACAGAAAAGAGTCAAGGAGCAAGAATTCAAAGAAATGAGGAGAGTCTTAGGAACCTCCAGGACATCTTTAAACGCTCCAATATCCGAATTATAGGGGTACCAGAAGGGGGGAAAGGCACAGCCACCAGTGGAAAACTTATTTGAACAAATAATAAAAGAAAATTTCCCCAATCTGGCAAAGGAAATAGACTTCCAAGAAATCCAAGAAGCTCAGAGAGTACCAAAAAAGTTGGACTCAAGAAGAAACACACCAAGGCACATCATAATTACATTAGCCAAAATTAAAATGAAGGAGAGAATCCTAGAAGCAGCAAGAGCTAAGGGGACAATCACCTACAAAGGAGTCCCCATCAGACTGTCAGCAGATTTCTCAAAAGAGACTTTACAGGCAAGAAGGGGCTGGAAAGAAATATTCCAAGTCATGAAATCTAAAGACCTACAACCAAGATTGCTCTATCCAGCAAAACTTTCATTTAGAATGGAAGGACAGATAAGGTGCTTCTCAGATAAGATCAAATTCAAGGAGTTCATCATCACCAAGCCCTTATTATATGAAATGTTAAAGGGACTTATCTAAGAAAAAGAAGTTAAAGAAACATGAACAGTGAAAGAACAACAAGCTCACAGTTATTAACAACCACACCTAAAACGAAAGCAAACTAAAAGGACAGCTAGATCAGGAGTGGAAACATAGAAATGAAGATCTCAAGGAGGGTTAGCAACAGGGGAGTGGGAGGAGGAGATGGGGGGAGAAGGTACAGAAAATAAGTAGCATAGACAGTAGATAGAAAATAGATGGGGGGGCAAGAATAGCATGGGAAATATAGAACCTAAAGGACTTGAGACACATGGACATAAACTAAAGGGGGGGTAATGGGGGGGATGGGGGGCAGGGTGGAGGGGAATGAAGGGGGAATAGAACAACTGTAACAGCATAATCAATTTAAAAAAATAAAAAATAAAAAATAAAAAAAAAGAAAAAAAAGAAAAAAAAATAAATAAAAGCCCATGTCTGCTCACGATGATCAACTTTATGGCATGTTACAATTAACAGCCTGATAAGAAAAGGAAGCTTCCTGGTGAAAATATCCAAGTTCATACGGAAGAAAGACCTCATTCTCTCCCCATGGATGAATTGCAGACATTAATGATCTGTGAAGCCTGAGACGAGAGAGATTTCACAAAAAATGGCCTGTTCTACTCTAACCCTCAGATGCATTTCTCTGGGAGCTAAAAGCAGTGCTGGCTTCTTTGCACAGAAGGCTGATCCGCCTCCTGAATCTGGTCCACCGAGCGCCTCTCCTCCTGGTGGCAGGGTGTCCGGTCACCGAGCCGTTTGTGAGGGATCCATCTGCCTGTTGGATGGAGCGGCTGCCCCGGCCACACTCATCCGCCCACTCTGTCCATCCACCCAGATGTGAACTGAGTGATGAAGGCGTGGCTCCAGCCAGCAGGCGGAGACGTGTTCCCAGGGGCACTGTCCCACCCCACTGCACTGGACGGAGTCATGAGCCCAAGCCCAGCAAGGTATTGGGAAGACAGGCAGAACGGCCTCGGCCCCACATCAGTTAGAACTCATCCAGCACATTGGGTGATGGCATCAGCCGGGGGTCAGAGTGGGACCTGCGCGCCCTGGGGCCGAGGTGTGAACATCAGACTAACAGCTGCAGATGGACATGACTGCGGGGAGTCCTAGGGACGGCTCACAGGTCCAGGGCTGCCCCGCAAGGGCCCCGTGGGGCGAGCCCACCTTCACAAAGGTGGGCAACGTCACGGACTTCGCACAGGTCTTTGTGCCATGCCCTCCCGACACGTCACAGGGCTGCTGGGAGGAAGCGGCCCACCCCGGCTTTCTTCCTGGGGGGCCACAGGAGCTGAGCGGACCCCATCTGCCAGGCTCCACCTTGCCCGAGGGGCAGGCGAAGCCATGGGGGCCAAGGCGGACCCAGCGGCTGTCAAAAGGCACTTGGGGACTGCAGCCACCGGCACCCCTGGGGCAGGACACGGCAGGCAGAGGACCACTGCGGGACACCTAAGACCCTGGGGGAAGGAGACAGAGTGAGGCCTTGCGGGAGATGAAGATGTTGCAGAGCAACCGGAGGGCAGGGGAGCAGAGCCCCTCGGGCTGGTCCCAGCCTCGGGGACCCACCACCTGGTGGCAGAGACGGGGAGGGGCCCTGTGCGGGGCCTGTCACAGGCACACGAGGCAGTGAGGACGCGTGGCCTGGCCGAAGAACAAAAGCGACCCCAGGAACAGTCCCTGAGGAGACACGCGCGTTGGACCTGCGACCCAGAGGTCTGAGACCGCTCTCTCGGACATGAACTCCAGTACGTCAGAGCTGAGCACTCTCAAAATTCGAGGAAAGGCGCAGATTTATAAACCCGAGGAGCTCAGCAAACTTCCGGTAGGAAAACCCAACGAGACCCACAACTGGATATGAAGTCAAAGACGAAGGCAGAGCACCTTGAAGGCAGAAAGAGAGACCAGGGTTCCCAGTAAAACCGTCCCAGGGCCGCTCGGCGGAGGGGGGGCTCTCGGACGGCGGATGGAAAGCTGCCGCCAAGTGGGGACTCTGCCCTAACCCAGTGGTCCTCTGGAGCGGAGAGGAAGCACGTGCCTGCAGACAGACGCGAGCTGAGGGAGGTCATCACCGTCCTACCTGCCCTGGGAGGGACCCTACGGGGACTGTGCTGGCTGAGAGGGAAGAACGCCATTTGAAGAGACGACACTTCACAGCAAACACAGACAGAGATGTAAGAAAACACTATTTCGTAAACTTGATTTCTGACTCTATGTTTTTTGTTTTCTGCCGGATTCAGAGACAAATGCATAAGAATCATTTCACGGCGATGCTGACAGGATCGTGACGGAGATGTAATTTGTGACATCAGCAGGGTTAACTGCTGGGGAGGCTGCACAGAAGAGTTTTTGCATGTGTGGTCTCCATGGCAACCACGAAGAACACATCTGCAGACTGTGCACAGACAGAAATGAGGAGAATCACAATGTGTGACTGTAAAACACCGACTAAGCGCAGAGGCAGTTGGTAGTGGCGGGTGTGGGGGCAGATACCGGTAAGACACGCAGAAAACAAATGAAGCGGTGAAAGTCAGGTGCTCTCTCACCTGTCATTTCTCTGAATGCACATGGAAGCTGCTCTGCATGGATGCATCGCGCCCAAAACTCCAAAATTCCTGTGTTGACGCCCTACCACTCGGTGCCCCAGAGTTTAGCTGCTGGTGGAGGTGGGCTCTTTGCAGAAGTAATTAAATTAAAACGAGGTTGTTAGAGTGGACTCCGATGCGGTACGACTGGTGTCCTCACCAGCAGAGAAGGTGAGGACACAGGCCTGCACGGGGAAGACTGTGTGAGGCCCCGGGAAGACGGCCGTCCACAAACCAAAGGGGGAGGCCTCAGAAGAACCAGTCCCGCCAACGCCAAGCTCTCAGACTTCCAGCCTCCGGGACCATGAGGGAACGAACCCCTTTTGTGTATCTGCCCAGGCTGCGCTAGTGTGGCATGGCGGCATTAGAAGACAGATTCGCTCCCCAGTGGAAAGGCACTGATCGGCAGAATGGATTTAAAAAAAGAAACAGGATACAATTACATGTATAGCCATGTGCTGTTTATGGAAGGCTCGCTTTATTTAGATCGAGGGGACAAAAAGACTAGAAGAGAAGAGTGGCAAATTCACAGAGCTGGAGAGCCACAGGGTGGCTGCTGGAAGCTGGGGACCAGGACGGGACTTCCTGTTCGCAGGAACAGAGACTCAGTCGGGGACGTTCCCAAAATTCTGGGGGCGATGGTGGTGCTGGATTCCAGTTGCAGGAATGCATTTGATGCCTCGGGACTGGACGTTTAAGACGGCTTCCGTGGTAACTGTATGTTACGTGTGTCTCACACTGTGCGTGTATTCCAGCGAGTTCTGTGTCTGTAACC